AATGCATGGATACTGTGGAAGACTCTGAAAAGTACTTTATCAGTATCAGTAAGGGCTGAACCTGTTTAGCATCATGGACCAGTTTTATACAAGACAGCGTTCCCACAGATGGGCAGGTAAAATAAGTTTTACAGCAATTTTTCTTTGTGTAGTTGTTTTAACTTAATTATAGCAATTAGATTTGTTAGTTTGTGAGGAAGCACTGCTTATGAGTCAAGCAGAGGAAAGAGGTGCAAACAAACAAAAAAGAAAGAAAAAAAACATCCCTGGCAGACAAATGTATGCATTTATATAGATTATTTATTGTATTTTCTGCTGTACATGTTGCACCACCCTATAAGTCGCATCAGTCCAAATATGTCTAATAAAATGAAAAAAAAAAAAAAACATAAATAAGTTGCTTCACCATATACGTCGCATCTATTACGCGTCACCGCTGACAACCCGGATATGTGGGAAGGTATTGTGCCAAAAATCGCTTGGCTGCCAAATGGCGGCCGCGGGATCGTGCATGGGAGGACTTTAACAAGAATTTAACAAGATTAATGCTTAAAAATAATTATCTGTTTGCTCAAAATTATAGCAAAGGTGTGTCTCAGTCTAACGTTTGCTTAATAAATGCACTTTGACGGTCAAATCAGCTGCATTTTCAAAAGCCAATACGCGGAAACATGAACGTGCAGAGGGCGACTCGCTGTCCATTTCTTCGAAATTTAACAAGATAACCACCTAAAACAATTATTTGTTTGCTCCACTTTATAGTAAAGGTGTGTCTTAGTCTAACTTTTACTTAATAAATGCACTTCGATGGTCAAATTAGCTAAATGTCACCGGGGCGGCGCAGCGAAATGAAGCTGATTTGACAGTTGCTCCAGGCAAACGACGGTGGCAGGCTGTGGCAAGTTGATTTTGTCATTAATAGCCACTTTTACCTATTACATGATACTGTGGCATGCCATACAGTTCGACTGCCATCTAGCAGCTGAAAATGGTAGTGTTCAATATTTTCAGTCAGAATGAATGAAAACAATCATATCTCAGACAAAAATTGGTTTATGAATATGGGAAAAATCCATAAATATGTCGCATCTGTGTATAGGTCGCAGTGCATGAAAATTATACAAAAAACTGTGACTTATAGGCCGGAATATACGGTAGTTCTTGACCCGGTGCGTGGCAAACCCAGTGTTAATGGATGCTACAGAGGACAAGTATGCAAGCATAAAAATGGATTTTATTAGTGCTGCATATGTTTAAAAAACTATTCTAATGTGGAATTAATGAGTTTTGTAAATCTGGTGTATAAATCAGTATGTTATTGTATCAGTACGGTTGTATAGGTTTTCTTTGTACAACTGCTTAAAGCATGGTGCTTTCATTTAACTTTGTCTGCCATTTTGGTCAGAAATGCCACAGTTTTGCTTAAAACTATTACCGTAGTTTGCACACAGGACCCTACTAATGAAATATAGCTATGGATGATAGTAGCATTTTTTATTTTTATCTCAAAGCTGTACACAAAAAATTATTTCCCTAATCCAAAACAACTCTTAAGATTATTTTATTTTAACGCACAAGTACCTTTTAATCTTTGGTGAACATGTTTAACAAGATAACTATGCTACCATCTCTAAATTATGAGAACAGCAGATTTAGAAACACCAACTCAAAGATGTTTGGCTTCTATGCTAATCTTTTATTTTACCTTTAGTTGCACAGGTAGTCTCATTTTCAAAAGACCTGTTTTAGACAGACAACATATCGAATACAATAACAATATACAACGATAAGTAAGTTTCTTTCGGCTGCTCCCTTGTTCGGGGTCACCACAGTGAGCAAACTCGCATGAAAGATTTGGCAATTTGTTTTACTCCGGATGCCCTTACAGAAGCAACCTGGGCTCGAACTCGCAACCTCAGGATTACGAGACCACAATACTGACCACCGCAGCAACAATAAAAGCAATTAAAACCAATACTGTTACAAAAACAATAAAATCAGTGCCATAAAAACTAGGTAAAATTCTAAAATTGAACGTTTGCTTAGATTTTTCTAATGACCTCATCAAATGTTTAAAATCCCTTATAGAAATCAAAGTGGACAGCTTCAGATCTTGTTGCGAGGTGTTCAAGGTTACAGGAGCAGAGTAATTTGCCTTTTTGCCGAGTTCAGTTCGCAGTGAGGGAATGCCGCAGGTAATGAAGGCCTGAGAGCGCACGCTGTAACTGCACTGACGATGTGACATGGGAGGAGATGTAAGAAGGTAGCAGACCAAGGAGTTATTTGTAGATGAAGATGTACGAGTGTGAGAGTCTATGTGTAGATAATGATGACCAACTGGCCAGTAAGTACAAAGCGCAGTGATGGTACGGTAGTTACAATCAGTTATGAACTTTACCGCACCCTCCAACATCTGCAAGGATCTGGCAAGGGCATTCATGTAAACAATGTCACCATAATCGATAGCTGGCAGGAAAGTTGCAGCTACAAGCCGTTTCCTGGGGTTCAGAGCTAACGGTCCTCTGAAGTCATTCTTGTAAGTATGTAATGTATGTATGTTATGTCTGTCTGTGTATATACATGTATGTATATGTGTGTGTGCCATAATCAGTTAAGATGCAGAGAGAGAAACAAAGAAACAGAAATAAGAACTTCTAGTCCTGCTGCTGCTCCAGAAACCTTCTGCTTCCTTGTGTTTGTGTCTCTCTGAGCCTTTCTGTGTCTGAACTCAGCAGGTAGATGTTAGTTTTGGGGATGACTAATAAAGCCATTTATAAGCTCTCTGCTTGTATGCTGCACACAGCTGTAGGTAAATCAGAACTTCTCTGCATCTGAATTCTCTTCTAGTTTTGTCTGACTGGAAGCCACGTCAGAAAAGAGGGGAAGAAATGTATGCTAACCTTTCGTTTGGATGCCGTGTTTTAGGAAATGGTGAGAGTACTTGAGAGAGAGTTAAGGAAGTGTTTGAAGACATGAGAAACAGAATGCTAATTCCAAGTTTCCGGTCAAGACATGGCAACACCAGAGATTACTTCTTTTGTTTTTTGTCCTTCTCCTTTGTGTTGCTGTCTTTCCAGGCTTTAGATTTATTACATTTATTACATCTCCATCTGCTTTTTTAGAGTCTATACATGAGCCTGTTGAGTAAACATACTATAGGTATTTCTCCTCTAATGGGAAATAATTAAGTAAAAAAGTACAACCCGCTTGCTGTCTTGCAGGCCAAAGTTTTAAACGAAGATCTTGTACTATCTGTTAGCACTCAGTAAGTATTTTTGATGACTCTCAGCTGTGACGTCAAGTTTTAGTTCAGTATCTATAAAATCGATTGCCTTGGGTAAAAAGGACAAGTTCGACCTCTCCTAAAGAGTGAAGCACTCATCCAGCAATCACAGCCTCTGAATCTCTGAGTGTCATCCACTCATGCACAGCCAGTTAGCAATCAGCTAAAAATAGTCTGCCACCAGTCAGGTTCTGAGGCTCTTAGTCTCTCATACTGTGTAATAATTGTACTTGGAACGTTAGCCCCACGTTGCTTCATGCCTGCAGATTACCTCCAATCATCATCAACCAAGCTCTCAGCAGACTGTAAACAACAGGCACAGGAGCCCATTTCCTGTTCCAGTTCTGTTCTCATCAAACTGTGGCACAAGGGTCCACATACTGTAGCGTAGTGGTGGTCCCTGGGACTAATCTGGCATACGAGTCCATTCCATTCGGCCTATGAAGTACTGAATCTATGGATGCACAGAAACCACATTTTTCCCAAACCGAATACTTGTTGATACTAAGTACTGGTTGGCATGAGTACTAATTTGTTTTCTCAAAACAGGTTTTTGAATTCAAACATGAAGTAATTTGATTCAGAGTTTTAACCTCTACCAAACCCACTGCACCGTACTGGTACTAATAAATAATACAGCCCTTACAGTGACTTTGAAACGTGCTTGAAAATCAGAGGATTTCTTCCTTTCATGTTAGCTCCTTATACGGAGCTGAACAGCAAGTCTTTTCCAACAGCGCCCATTGGTGAACTGTGAGATTCTTGGTAAGCTCGTGCTCAAATCTTACATTCCCTCCTCTGCTCGGTGACAGAATACAGTCGTTAACCGCTGCCATGAACAACTCTTTGAACTTGGTGCTGCGTTGTTCTTGTTTTTTTTCGTCTTATCAAACAGAGTGTGCAGAAATTGCTACCCTTCATTTGTTCTACTGGCAACTTTGCTGAGCACAAATTGCAGTCTGCTTGGGTTTTATCTCCATCGTTCCCTTTGAGACAGCTTCACACATGGATTGCTTCTTTTGCCACAATGCTGCTCAGCTGTTGTGAACGCCACTGTAAAGTGGCATCAATACTGTGGTATCAGAAGACTTTTATGAATATGAATATACAGTATTAGAATCGATACCAGATACTGATATGGCATACCGAACTGAGTCATCAATAAACTATTTTCGATCTGAGTACCGTATTGTCAGAGAAGGTAAATGACAATAGCACCTCGGCGGATCAGAGAGTTTGTTCATTGCACAGTTTGTAAACTTTTATTTTGTAGACAGCAGAACCGTCAGGTGGTTTTAGCTGGTTATTCCAACAACAGCATGCTAAATTATCTACAGCCATCTTTAGATGTCACCAAAACGTTCATTGTTAGATCAATTTTAACCATCTAAGTCAACTTTAGATGTCATCTTCAATGCAAAAAAGCTTGCCAACTCTCTTTAGTTTATTTAATTAATTTGTTTACTCTTTACTTTAAAAATTTTATAATATATTTATGCAACGATTGGCATTTATGTACAGTTATTCTAGTGTGGAGTCTAAACAAAGCTTTTTAATCTAAAGAAAATAAGAACGTTTAAGAACTGATTAATTAATTAGCATGGCAATGGTTGTCTATTTGTTGCAGAAGAAATTAAATTTAACCTCAGACCTCATGAAGAATTTATGTGAAACTTTCTAAGTGAAATATGGTGTCATCATGTTGATGTTACTGCAGGTACTACAGCGCCACCATCCTGCAGATGTCGGGGGTGCGAGACGACAGGTTGGCGATCTGGCTGGCCGGTCTCACCACCCTCACCAACTTCCTGTTCACCCTCTTGGGGGTGTGGCTTGTAGAGCGGGTGGGGCGCAGGAAGCTGACTTTGGGCAGCATCCTAGGTAAGCCCATTCTAAATCAAAGAGTTAAAGTGAAGCCACTACAGTGTAAATGTGTATTTTGTTGTTTTTCAACAGGTACCTGTTTGAGTTTGAGTGTTTTGGCCATCGGTTTTCTCACATCTGCCCAGCACAGTCCTCCCGTCACATTCCACCCATTAGACCCCGACATCGCCAACTCAACATGCTCCAAGTACCAGTGAGTAAACGCACACGAATACCACCTTTATCACAAACGCCATTAATCACCGCCTTTCATAAGCTAACATAAACTAAATAACTCCCGGGGCGTATAGGTTAGAATTAAGGTACTGTTTAACGGAACTTAGAAGATTAATTAAGCTTCAGTAAGTCTCCTAAAAAGACATGTTTGATATGTTTACAGGTTTTCCCTGGTATTTTTCTGTTCTAGAATTGTGCCGCTCAAGGTGGCTGCATGTTTGAGTAGCTGTTACTTTCATTCTGGAATATTGCTTTTGAAAACTTTATTTCCTCTTTTTTTCTGGATGTAAATGGCTTTTTATGGATGACATCTTCTTCTGGTATTGGATGCTGTGCAGCTGGAAGGATTTTTACTGAAACTTTTTTACTTTTGGACATTTGTTATGAAGTGTAACCATGACAACAAGGTGGTTTTTTTACAGCTGATTAACATCTCAAAGCTCAGCCTCAAATCCCAAATGAGTTGTAAAGGAGGCATCGAGGATGCATCTCTGTCTACCTGGCAGAGGTGCTTGAGTGACTGACTGCTGAGTTCCTTGGAGCTGGTAGGAAATGTGGCTCATAACAACAAGACCAGGATCATCCCCAAAGCCTGCAGTTGTCTGCAATGATGAGGAGCTCAAAAGCTGCTGAGACGAGTAGCCATCACTCTGGGAGGAGTTCTGCCCAACATTCAAGTTGTCCTGCTTCCCAGGACCGAGAAGCCCGCTGGGTCCTGGTGGATGGATCGGCATTTGCAGCCAGTTTTTTCCAGATCTGCTGCGGGAGATCCTTACTGCTCACAGCCATCAGCATATATAGTAACTCTTAACGAAACCAGGATGAGCTACAACAACATTTAATTTCCCTTTGGGATTAATAAAGCATTTTGAATTGAATTGAACTGAATTAAATGTCCTAATTAGGGATGCACGATATTGGATTTTTTGCCGATATGCCAATATGTTAAAACTTATTTGGCCAATAACCGATGCCAATACCGATATTTTATATACGTTCCTTTGTCAGAACATATCCCTCTTATTTAGGCTTATTTGCTACAAACATTGTGTAACAGCTGTAAGAGCTGGTGACATATTCAGTAACAGCCATATGATATGCATAGCACTTTAACTTATATTAAATAAAAAGTGTTAAATGTTATTTATTAGCATTAGTCACCTGCAATGCTGTCTCACTTGTGGAGGCTTGTTCCGGGTTCCTAGCTGCATTGAGGGATCTTCTGCACTCCTGTCCATGAAGGACAGACTTTTTAAGTTAAAAGTTTTTGGCCATCCGTTGTGCCGTACGACTAATCATGCTAACGCGGCTAACACTTGACGTCCAAATGTCTGTGGTAAAACTCACCCAACAAGTCGTGCTATCAGCTATTAGCTTCTCAAGGAGGTCAGAAACGATGGCTTGTAACTCGGGTAACGTTACGTCGGAAAAATATCTCCGACTGGGGACGATTAGAGAGGCTCAACGTAGTCCATAAATCTTCGGAATCCGACTTCCTCACCAACGAAAAAGAAAACTTCCACACCACCGACATTTTGAATTTTCCTCTCCGCCGTGAGATCAGGTAGGCGCACATGACGTCATCACGTTGTGCTACCACTGCAGGCAAAAACAGCGCCTTTTATATCGATGAGTTATTTTAATGGCATGGCCAATGTCCGATATTGAACTTTAACGCTAATATCGGCCGATACCATGCCGATAATATTGTGCATCACTAGTCTTCATTTCTTTTTAGGCAATTCTGAAAGGAAATATCAATGCAAGCATGGTTGTAGATCGTGCGCAGGGTTCAAAATTATCTCCATCTTCTGATGCTCTTACATGATTGAAAAGTGTTCGTAGATTTTGGTCGTCGAGACTCAAACATACGATTCAAATTAAAAAGAGACGGTTCAGATCTTTGGAAGTGGGTTTCTGTGGAACATTTATAAACAATCAACGTAATTTTTGACTATTTTGTCAAATGACAAAATTAAATTTTTGGAGGACCCTCTACTTACCGTTGCTTTATGATAAGATAAATATGGGATCTATAAAAATGCATTTATAATGGATCTCTATAGGTTTGATTTTTCCATGAAGGGACGCTAAAGAGCGGTAGAGTTTATGGGTGCAGTTAAAATAAATTTTTTCCCCACAAGACGTTCTGAGGGTTAAATCAGCACAAACCTAAGCTTTTGATAGCTAGAGCTTTATCATAAGTGTCTTTCATCAAAAACGGCTACAACTCACTCCGTCTCGCATCAAACTGTAAGATTGAGCGTTTTCTCGACTGGAGGCCGTGAGAGGTCTCTGTGTTCCAGTTTACTCCCACTAACACGAGAAGAAACTCCTGCGTAACGACAACGCCTAATGGCCTCTGACCACCACACACTCCATGTCATACACACACGGCAGTAATTTACAGAGATGAGTGCTTTCAGCACTGTGGAATGGTTTTGTTGTGTTCTCACACACTCTTAACAACCACAGAGTTACTGATCGTCTCTGTTGCGAACGGTTTCCCTTTATCTTTAGATTACACAATCTAACCAAAGTAACACAAACAAGACCTGTTACATCCAAACTGTGAGGCACAGTTTCCCTACAGTTACATCTTTAAGAATGTGGATTTGTGCGACCAGTGAATGTCCGATGAGTTAAAAATAGAACTAAAGAGAAAAAAGCTGTTAGGAGAGGTTTCAGAACGGATTACAAAAAATAATAATTTGGCAATGAAATGGAGCTCTTCTCCTGCAAGCCTCCACAGTTAGAATATTCAATAGACTATTTATTAGTATAAAAATAAATTTATATTTCTGACAAGATGTGACAAGGTGGTGTTGAATCAAATTAAAAGTCAGTTTTTTTTTCTTTTACTGTGGAGCAGAGGTAGTATTAGAGGTGCATTTTTAATTGGAAACTGAACAAACGTTGGGTTTATTAGTCATAAACATGCCAATAAATAAAATAAAATGCTGATTTGAAATGAAAATAAAATGTTTATAAGATTACTATCGTAGTCGGTGTGGGATTGGACCCAGATGCAGGCAGACTTGAGGATCTTGGGTAAAATAAAAATGATTTATAAACAAAGTTGACATGGCAGCAACATACAAAACTTAGGAGTGGAAAACACATGAGGACCAAGACATCTGAGAAGCATTCAGGATAAAGACAAGGAAGCGTATAAAACTAAAACTAAATGGGATTGAAAGTGGGAACACCTGGGATGAATGTTGATTGGGGACAGGTGAGGGTGGCAGGCTGACTGGGCTTACTGAGGGGTAAAAAAAAAGATGGAACAAGAGACACAAAAACGCAAAAGATCAGAACTGAACAGGAAAACAGAACTCAAAGGACAAAAATAAAATCACCAAGAAGCACAGCTACGACTGTTACAGCTGCTAGTTGACAAACTTTTACCCAGATAACATTCGAAGGTTAAAGTAGATCAATATGGCCTCCAAAGATGATGTTAGAAAAGTTTTCTTTTTCCCCTTTAATATGTGTAATATGTTTATAATTCAACAAAGTACTTCTGCATACTTTGTGCTTTTTTAACAATCCATATAAATGTAGCTCAATCAGGAACACCATGCTTTGACATTTGTAGTTTTTATACTTTGCTGCCATTTTGCTCTTAGAATACTGTTCTGCTGCTTTGAGCTACTGTTCTGCTGCTTTTAGCTCATGTTCTGTTCATTTTAGTTCATGTTCTGCTCATTTTAGCTCATGTTCTGTTCATTTTAGTTCATGCTCTGCTCATTTTAATTCATGTTCTGCTCATTTTAGCTCATGTTCTGTTCATTTTAGTTCATGTTCTGCTCATTTTAGTTCATGCTCTGCTCATTTTAGTTCATGTTCTGCTCATTTTAGTTCATGTTCTGTTCATTTTAATTCATGTTCTGCTCATTTTAATTCATGTTCTGCTCATTTTAGCTCATGTTCTGCTCATTTTAGTCCATGTTCTGCTCATTTTAGTTGATGCTCTGCTCATTTTAGCTCATGTTCTTCTCATTTTAGTTCATGTTCTGCTCATTTTAGTTCATGTTCTGTTCATTTTAGTTCATGCTCTGCTCATTTTAGTTCATGTTCTGCTCATTTTAGTTCATGTTCTGC